GGTTTGCTTCTGTAAATATTTTGTAGCGGATTTTCATATTTATTTTACTGTGATGAAGATGAAAATTGTTTCCAAGATATTATACGGGCTGAAAAAGAGAAAAATTTGATACATCAAAAAATATTCAACGAGGAAAGATACAAAATTGTTATCTTGCAATAACAAATAACGCTTGAATTTAAAAATTTATTAGATAAATCATTATATTATATTCATCCTCTTTCAACAATTATCCACGTATAATGCGAAACATTCAATACTGGACATCCTGCTAGTTGAGAATATGTTTTCATTGGGAGGCAAAATTATTTCTCAAAACAAATATGTCGTGTGAAAACTTTGAAATGTTGGTTTTACATTTAACGAAGTGACAATCAATTTTGAATTTCATTGTTAAAACTTCTAGAAATTTGTTGAATAAAAAAACTTATACTTTTAGAATTTCAATTATATTGGTTGAATGATGATTTGCCAGGGGTTGCCTAAGACCATGGAAAGCACGATACTTGTTTCTCATAATATGCAGCTGTAAATTTTTTAGCACTTCATTTAGAGTAGATTACGTGACTGCAATAACTATAAATTTGTCCATATGAGACTAAATAACACTCCATTAGCTCCATTAAAGATCAACTTTGGAGTTGTTCCTAAAACAGTTTTATACTGAACTTGTTAACAGTAAAGCGGCAAAAAAGGATTCCTCTTCACTTCACTTGCCAGTAAAACAATTCATTCTTTGACACACAGATGTTGTAAGTTATACACTCTCACTTTCTCTCTCTTCTCTCTCTCTCTCTCTCTCTCTCTCTCTCTCTCTCTCTCTCTCTCTCTCTCTTTCCATCTCTCTCACACACATACATGCATACATACATACATACAAACACATCATTTATAGAATTGATTTTTAGTGGCATTTCACAATGGATTTTTAGGGTTAGTAGGGTTTAAAATTATGAAGATTTATGCTTTTGATGCCTTTTTAAAACGTCTCTAAAGAAGAGAAATTGGTTTTGTGCGGTTAGTTTGCAAATACCTAAAATAACATTTTACTGTAAGAGAGTGTCTCTTATTAGCATCATAAGCATGAGTGGTGCGATCATCATGCATTAGACATTAATTGAGGCAGGGGGTATTAAAACTCGAAAAAAATTTGAGGCTTCTGCTCTAAAATTTGCAATCAAAATAAAATGATGCCAACTGGTATCGATGAAAATCTATTGTCCTTCATGTTTTCACAGTATTTGAGTGAGGTGTAGAATAAAAAAACCCAGTATTAGAATGTCATAGCAAACTTTGAGTTACATAAGAATAATAATTAATAATATACATTGAAGTTGTGAAAAATCATTTGGAAACATCTGAATGACTAAACAAATTTAACAATTAAATTAGATTAACAAAAATAATTGACATTGATGGTGCACTTTTTATTACTGTTGTAAAAATAGAATGACACTGCATTCAAAGACAAAGACAGATCCACTACCGGTTGTTTCCTGTCCTGAACTCATTCGTGATAGGGGATTTTCTGTAAATTGGAACGTCAGTAGCATAACTAAGAAAATAAAATAAAACACAAAAAAACTGTGGAAGTCGTTTTTGTAAATTTCGTTTTTCTTTACTAAGATGGATTTTTAATCTTGGAATCGAATTCTAATTGAAGCCAAGAGAATTCTTATCGTGTCACCATATCATAAAGTTGTTAAAATCAAGTGATTTAATAATTTAGTCTTAAACAATTTGGTTCAGCAAATAATTCACTTTCCACTGTAGTTTTTTGTGCGTTAATACAGAATTTTTACCTTTCGTGTCAAGAATATTTTTCTTTGAAACGTATGCACATGAAGTTTTATAATAATTTCCAGCTAACTCTAACGAAATGCATGTGTTAGACAAAAAATACAGATATCAGTATGAGCTAGAGCAAGTAATTAGAATGGTGAAACTGCTTAGTGAGATGTCTTGAATTGGCAATCTTTGCTTTTAAATGTGCATTTCGAACAAAACAATCAAGTGTAAATAAAAAAAACTTTTTTGTTCAAAAAACCTAATTTAAGTCTAACTTCCACTTTCACTTCTAATGAAAAATTCAATTGATGACTATTTTCCAATTTCATTAATTCATTAAACAGCTTGATTTATTAATTTAGCAGCATGATTAGTAACTCAAAGTCATAAAAAAAAAATCATTTTACAAAACAAAACAAACTTTGTATGTGTGTGTGCGTATATATATATATATGTGTGTGTGTGTATTATATATATATATAGATGTTTGTGTATATATATATATATATATATATATTTGTGCATGTGTTTGCGCATGGGCGTTCAATAAAAAAGTTAACCACAAGTATTTCTATTTTTTGTATATTTTATTTTATAAGGAACGCGTTTAGGATTTCCAATAAAAAATTTCTAAACTTTAAGACATTATTTACAGTTTACACTAGAATGCTAGATATATCTAACAACGTGAAATATAAAATTTTTTAAATAAATTCGTTGTACTTTATAAATTAAACCGATTAAACCAAAACAAATGTGCATACAAAATATGAACAATGATGTTTTTTGGTGCCATTAGGAGACCAAAGTTGCTGTAACTTTTTTACTTGTAAGGAGCTGCACATTATTAGCTCAAAACTTTGTTATTAACAAGAAATTTTACAAGTTTATTTCATGTGTAGCATGTCTGCATATCATATTGTTAAGACTTAAATTAACATAACACAAATATAATTTACTTTATTTATCGTAATTTATTATCTAACTAAATAATATATTAATAGTTCTACTGTTAAGCTTAGTATTAAGATGATGTTATATTATAAAATTATTTTAAAATGAATAAAATTAAAATAAAGACTATTAAAACTTTAAAAGAAAATACATTAAAAAATTTTTTGTACTAACCCACATGCCGTTTCAATAAGATGAGTTAATCTTAATGCAAACACTACTGCCAAGTTGTGAACGAGATGTTGATAAAATAATGTTTCTTGTTAAAACTTGCATCGGAATATAAATAAAAAAAAAGTTGAAAAACTGTCACTATTTTTACTATGCTAACGCTGGTGGTTACTTTTTAAAATCATACAACTTAAATTGATCATTAATGCAAATTAAAATTCCGTTAAATGTGTTTAAATTGAACAATAACAAATGTTAACATTTAAAATTTTTTATGTTCAATTTTTTATTATTCCGCATTTATTTTTTTATAGTAATACGCCTGTTTCTTGCAATACCATTAAATTGCTAACAGCATAGCAAACAAAGTTGCACACGCCAACCCAAGCTTGATCTTTCGTATAAGTGTCTGAGTAATGTTGTATATATTTATATATACATATATATATATATATATATATACACGTATAATGTATACGCATATAAATATGTTTTTTGGCTTCATAACAATTTTGCACCGAAGCGCACAAACTGGCTTGCGTACGTGCCATACATCAATACATATTAAAACCCACCGTAAACCCACTGACTAATATTATAATATAAAAAGTGAAAGTGCGTGCAAGATTCAATGAAGAATGTTCATTGGTTTGGGTGAAATAAAAAACACTTTTTCCATAAGTAATGATAAATCTAAAAACAATCTTTAATCGTGTTAATTTTTTTCCGTGTTCATAATATTGAAAGTTTTACAAAAATCTTGTCAATCACCAGCCACCAAACATCTTATCCTCTAATAAGTTCCAAGTATAAAAAGCATATAAGTATAAATATGCAGATACATTGTGCTGTAAACTCCTCCTACCTGAAAGCTGAATATAATATTGGAACATGTTTTAAACGATACTTGAATAAATATACAATTTATGTGCTATGATTCTTTCTTAGCGTATTACGCAATATTTCATTTAGACGCGTCTGTTTTATTTTGCTACAGGCTAGGTTTTAATCGTTTGCTTATTCGTTTTTACGTTTATCTTTCGCGGGTACACTCGATGTTAAACCAATTTTTGGCTCAAATACTGGTTGTAGCAAAATACCTTATTTAAATGCATCAAAAAAACTAATATTCAACAGTTGTTTCTTTTTATTATTTTAATTTGCTCTTAAAAAATTAACCAGAAAGATTGCTCTTTAAAAAATTAACCTGAAATCAATGATATGAAATAATAATTCATTACAAATTAAACGACCATTCATGAATAAATAACAAAAACACTACAACATTACGTTTTTTCAGCAGTAAATGTCCTGTACTTAGCTTGAAAAGTTTAACAAAAACACCATTTTAAGCAACCTTTTTACATTAAACAGAATAACGATGCAAGAAGAAACTTCACAATGAACTAGTAAAATATGTTTTCAAACAATAAACAAATATTGCGAAAGGACGGATTTTTCAAAGGGATTGACTCTTCAGTTAGCAGTGCAAAACATTTCATTTTGTTTTCATAGCAAGTGATTAATTTTTTCCAATTAACTTATCATTACTTCCCAGTTGAAAAACGTAACACAAAACAAAATGACTGAGGAAAACCACACAGCTGTAACAAAAAATTTGTTTATTTTAAATTGTTTATCGATGCCGAACTGCGGCAAAAATTTCAATGTTTGTTGATAAAATGAATTTAACCAAGAATTAAGAATAAAAATAAGAATTCATCGTGAGCAGATGTAGGAGGATAAAGTTTTGAAGCTTCAAGTTTTGCAAATATAAATTTAACTAACTAACACACACCCACACACACCCACCATAAAACCCACTCATAAAACACACAAACAAATTCACACACACACACACACATATATATATATATATATATATATATACATAATTGTAATAAATTTTCTTGTATAATTATATATATATATATATATACATACACTTGTGTGTTTGTGAGTGTGTGTGTTTACGAACGACGTATATATTGAATAATAATTTTTATGTGGTTTAATACTTTTTTCGTTTAAAAAAACCGTGGTGCTAGAGCGACTGAAAATATTTTTGTCTCCAAATAAGATCAGAAATGCGCTTGCTTCAGCCAAGGCGGTAAATTCATTATAATAATCCAACCTTGAACGTTGATAATGCTAGCGTGCTGTTTAGCAGACGGGGCGGAGTTAAATTTTAACAAGCCAATCGTAGCTTCGAAAACGCGCAAAAGTAAAAAACTAAATAAAGTACACGTTGGTTTTGTATTTTTTATGGTTGTTTATAATTTTTTTAAATTCCAAAAAAATATTTATATGATGTAAATGATAAAAGCAATATGCTGTTACGCCATTTAGTAAGTTTACAAAACAAATTTTATTATCTAACGCCAGAAATATCGAGCTACACATTGGTTTCGATTCGTTTTTTTATTTGCTTATGTCACGTAGGCCATAAGTTTGTGCTCAGTATGCACGGTGTACAAATACAAAGTTTTATGCAAGTCTATGGAAATTCAGACATAGTTCACTTTGATTCACGCATCTCTGCAGTACGATTTAACAAAAGTGTTTGAACATTTTGAAATGTCCTAATTATTCCGACACTGTTTTCGTCATACATTCTACGGATTATTTTCGTTTCTTATCTACAAAAAATTAAAATATTTTAACACCTTATCGTACGTTAATTGCATAAAGCGTACGCACAGATCGATGAAGTTATATAGCGCTTTTTACCAACAACTCTCTAGATAGGTTCGTTTTTTGCAATGCTTTGTAGTACATATCAGATGCACCAAGTACAAACATAGTGTAAAGTACACGCGAACTGACGCATCTCACACATTGCATGCGATAGGCATTCGACGAACCCGGGCTGGCAGTACCAGGAACCTTAGCCTGGTGTTTACAGTTTTGTGAGATCAGTTTTAATATCAAATTTTAAAGTTTGTCTTTTCAATTTTCCTGAAATATGATTTCTGTAATATAGGATTATGTCGCTGTCGTTGTTTTTGAATATATTGCTACCTTGCTGTAAGGTACGCTTTAATACTAACTTCTATAGCAATGAGGAACAAAGAAATGACAACAAAGATGAAGAATACGACACCAACTAATTAACTCACTTTGCTAAAAAAATAATTTGGCTTTGTTTATAGAAACTATATAAGCCAAACCTGCATTGAAGATTTGTGAAAAATCGAAATCGAGGCCTATCTTCATGATGAATGAACAACAGTTTTATGAACTTTGATAATAATTCTATTTTCAATAAACTGAAGAATTTCCAAAAAATTCTAGCATGTAAAATTGAAAAGACAAATTCTAAATTGATTAATGCCAACATTTCGGTAAAATTCATGCAATACTGTGCAAAATATGGTCTTTCCAATAGACACACACACACACAACACACACACGCACATATTGTCGGCGCTATTTTTTAGTGAATTAATTCTCATCTTGGACAATGTAACTGTATTCAGTTCTAGAATTGCATTGGCCGGTGACGGTGACTTTAACATTCATATAGAAAGGGATAATGATCTTTACGCTGTAGCCCTAAGGGAAATTTTTGAAAATTATCATTTAATGAATCATGTTAGTGAGCCTACTCATTCTCTGGCAGGTACGATGGACTTAGTGGTCACCTCGGCAAATTGGCAGGTACTGGACTGTGTGGTCTTTCCAAGTGGGGTAAATTCAGATCATGGTCTGGTTCAGGTAAGTCTGTCAAGTACCCGTACTTGCACTCGCCGTAAGTGGAGGACGTTCAGATCATGGAGTCCAATGAAAGATGATGAGTTCATTGATGTGTTACTTAAATCTCCAATTTCAAGGCCGTGTACGAGCGACAATACAGGATTCCAACTTTTCGTTGATGAGTCAATAAAAATTGCTGATTTAATTGCTCCATTCCGCACTGTTTTGGCTAGACGGGATCAGGTAGCACCATCGTTTGATGATGAATGTATTCGAATGAAGCATGTTTGTAAAAGAAAAGAAAGAGTGTTTAGGAAAAGTTTGAAAACCACTCATCGTGAGGAATGGAAATCTGCCCTAAAAGAGCAATATAATCTTTTTGCTAGTAAACGCCAATTGTACTGGATCGGAATTGTTGATAAAAACAAGGGTAATCCAAAAAATCTATGGAGGGGTGATTGATAGAATTCTTTGCAGGAGTAGAAATGAAGATGTTGGTGTTGTTACTAATGTGTTGTCTGCTAATCAACAGAATGGTCTGCCGGCTTCGCTCAGGGACATTGGGTTGACCATGACATGCTTCAGAAAGAAACTCAAAACATTTTTGTTTTTGTTACAGTGATATCTTTATTTTTGAATTGTTCTATAGTGTTTTTATTTTGCAATTGTGTTGAATTGTTACAGTTTTTTGCAGCCAGACAATTGTTTCTACGTTTAACTTTATTTTAGTGAGGACATGTTTAATCTTATGTTTAATTTTATGTTATTTTATATTTTGATGGCGCTTTTGAATTTTAACTAACTAGCGCTAGATAAATCTTTTGATAATAATATATATATATATATATATATATATATATTATCAACCAAACAGCGTGGCAATACCAAGTTTGATATAATGCTTGATATTGTTGATTTGATAAAATATATGTCAACAAATGATCTTTGTCAACATTTGCCAACATTTGTGATTTTAAATATAAAGAAAATACCTGATTTGATGTCGAATAATATGTTGGAGGCAATATATGAGAAAAATGACAAAATGGCCGCCGTGCTGAATGAAATACTGGACACAAATAAATCGCTGTGTAAACAAATTAACAGGTGCGCCTACTTGTACAAATCTCGTTTCAAGTATCGCGCATGATACAAACTCTCGCACAAATCTTGCTACGTGTAATGTCGACGATACAAATGTTAATCGTATTAAAAATGAAACAATCGATACTTCATGGTCAAATATTTTAGTGTCAAAAACAAAAAAAACCTGATTGTGAATTACAATCTGACGATCGTATGAAACTCGTTCAGCGCAGTAAGAAAAAAGTCAAATCAATATCTTTACCGCCAAGTTGAAAAAAATATCAATAAAAATAAATCTCACAAACCCTCAAAGATTTTGGGATCACTCACAACTAGCCCCCTCTTCACGGCATCTAAATCAATTATTAAAAAAAAAGTTTTCTAAATTGCGAATGTCAAACTACCTGAAAGTTCCATAATCGAAAAACACTGTGAGAATAGGGGAATCAATTTGATTTTCTGTTATCCGGCCTCTAAACTTGTGGAAAATGATGATGAAATAAAATACTCCTCATTCAGATTGTGTGTCCCGGCCGAGGAGTATGGCAAGGTGATGACTGCATCAAACTGGCCTGCCTCAGTTGTCGTTCGTGAATGGATCTTTAATAAAGATAACACCAACTCTTCGAATACACTGCTCAGTGCCAAAACAAATGCATCTGCAGTGAAAGATGTTAACAACACCGAAGAAAACAGAGGCGTCAGCAAATCAGATATTTGACTAACTGATTTCCCTGAAAATAAACAAAATAATGATGAGATATTTGAAGAAAGTAATACGCTATTTTCTCATAATATTTTATTTGACAGAAACAACTGCTCATTAAACTTGATTTCGAACTATGACGTTGATTTAAATAATGATTGTAATTTATTCAGTCTAACCTCCGAATATTTCACTGTCGATCAGCTTAAATCCTTGTTGCAATGTAAACGTAATGGCTCATACAATTTTCTCCTCCTTCATATTAATTGTAGAAGCTTGATTGCACACACTTTTGAAATATTTCAGCTTGTAAATGACTTCCAATTAATTAATCATATAGTATGCCTAAGCGAAACTTGGTTAAGTGATAACGAAATTATAACTCTTTGAAAGTTACTTTTCCTGATGACAATTTTGTTTTCAACAACAGATCCTACAAGAAAGGTGGCGGAACAGGCTTTCTAATTAAAAATAATTTAATCTACGAAGTTTTAGATAATGTCAGCCAAGATTTTAATGTCTTTGAATGGAGTGGAGTCAAAATAATCTGCAACACCAAAGCATGCTACTATATATGTGTTTATCGATCACCAGGAGGTAAACTGGAAGATTTTTTTTAATGAAATTAATGAACTTCTAAACAATTTTTTCCCTATGGTTTCAAATTTTGATGTTTTCATTGTTGGCAATTTCAACATAAACTTGGATAACACCAACAGCAACATACGAACGTTTTTAGATCTTTTTGCAGGATTTGATTTACATCCTATTATAAATCAACCTACAAGAATTACTGATTCAATTTCATCTATTATAGACAACATCTTCACCAATCATAAAAGTAGTGTTTTCACTAAAGGTATACTACTGGAAGATATCTCTGATTACCTTCCAATTTTTCTGTGCCTTCCAGATAACTTACCTACTACTTCCAAACGCAACAGCATAAAAACTAGAATAATCAACACAGATAACATATCTCAAGCAAATGATAAACTGGCAAGTTTGAATGGCCAGAAACTCAAAATGACTTTGATTTAGATACAGAATACCACATCTTCTTAATGAGGTATATGGACATCATAAACCTTACATGCCCTCTTCAAAACAAGAAAAACCGTTTCAGAAAGCCCTGGATGGATATTAATCTCTATAAACTTCATAAGAATAAAAACAAATTATACATCAATTACCTTAAAAACCCAACAACAGATAACAAAATAATATATACTAAATCAAAAAATAATTTTATTAAATTAAAAAAGTCTACAATAAAAAATTTTTACGCTAAAAAATTTGAACACTGCAATTCTGCTAGAACCAAATGGAAGATCATCAATGAGATTATAGAAACAAGTAAAAATGAATATAATTTATTTCAATCAGTTTCAGACAAGAATGGTAAATTGGATATTGTTAATGGCATCAATAGATTTTTTATTGAACAAAGTAAAAACTTGAATGAAAACAGAAAAAACTTTGCAAACGAAGCCATTTTTGAAAAAATTGAATCATGTTCTTCCTCTATGTACATTGAAGACGCAACACCTGATGAAATAATATTAATTGTTAAAAAGCTTCAAACCAGCAACACTCTCGATTGCAACTTCTTGTCATCTAACTTAATAAAACGGACTATAATCTATATTATTTAATAAATCAATCAAAGTGGGAAAATTTTCCAGTAGCATGAAGATTGCTAAGGTTCTGCCAATTTTCAAAAGTGGTGATCCGAAACTATTTGAAAATTATCGACCAATATCTATATTTCCTATATTTTCTAAAATTTTTGAAAAACTAATGTTTAACAGGTTATGGAGTTTTTCGATAAAATTCAATATAATTCATAAACATCAATACGGTTTCATTCCTAAATCATCAACTGAAGTTGCAATTGCAGAACTACCCACTTCGCTTTTAAATAATTTCGAACTTAAAAATTTTACCTTAGGTATTTTCATAGACCTCAAAAAAGCATTTGATGTCACTGATCATCCACTAATGTTGTCAAAATTAAAGATCTATGGCATTCGAGGTCCTATCTTCAACTGGTTTGAATCTTATTTAATGTCAAGAACGCAATATACCTCTATAGATGATTTCAACTCCCATCCTGGTATTATTCAAACTGGAGTTCGACAAGGCTCGATTCTAAGACCGCTTCTATTTATAATATTTGTCAATGATATATTTTTAGTATCCAACATATGCAAAACCATATTATACGCAGATGACACTAACATATTTTTATCTGGAGATAATCCAATTGACCTATTTTCAAATATGAATCATGAACTAAATAAATTTATGGAATGGTTTGAATTCAATAAATTAACATTGAATATAACAAAATCTTGCTTCATAGTGTTTGGTCCTAAGATCAAAACAAATGACGTTATTTTTAACAATTTAAAAATATATCTTGGCAAAAACGTTCTTCCAAGAGTGTCGTCTGTCAGATTCCTTGGAATTATCATCTAAAGTGATTTGAAATGGGATGAACACGTCAATGTAGTGATCAGTAAGTTACACAGAGTCATTGGCGTGATTTATAGAGCACGTAGTAAACTTGACCAAACTTCAATGATTATTCTTTATTATTCATTTTTTTATCCGTACCTCATATGTGGTAATCTGTTCTGGGGCTACAGCTGTAAATATTTAAATAATAAATTACAAATAACACAAAAACGCTTACTGAGAATTTGCTTCTCACCTAAATTTTACGACCATACTGCCTCCATTTTCACTGATCGTGGATTTCTTAACATCGAACAGATAATTAAGTATATAATTTTAATTTATATTTATAAAATCCAACATGTTGACAGCCACAAAACTTTTTTTTTATTTGAAAAAATTACATCAAGACCAGACAGAACAACATGCTGAAAGTACCCAAAAGTAGGACAGGATTAAATGATAAATCCTGGTACATACGAGGAGTTAAAATGTGGAATAAATTTGGTTTCCATAATTCACAGTTCTCTTCCATTGCCTCCTTTAAAAAGACAGCCAAGAAAAAAATTCTCGAAAGTGTTTTGAAAAACTTAATTAGTTGTTATTATTTCATACTCGTGATATTACTTTGATTTTTGTTACTATTATATAAATGTTTTAGACAATTGCAGAAACGTTGTAAAATTTTTATTTTCCAAATTGAATTAATTATTTGAAATTTTTTATTTTTTGCTATGACATTCACTCAATTACATTTTAATTAAGGTGGTCTGCACAAGTTAATGAATTTTTTTTTACCAAATAAATGATTGAAAAAAAATATGCACTCGAGAATGAATAGGAGAATTGTAGTATATTAGTATATTATTCTTTCAATAAAATAAATGATGACGACAAAAATTTTGGAAATATTGAGAAATGTAAAAAACGCCATAAATTTGCTTGTTTACATAAATTTCTACATTAATTATGGTAATTACCAGCATATATATATATATATATATAATGTATATATATATATATATATATATATATGCGATATATTGATGAAAATCACAGCATGTTCGGCGTTATTTAACTTATCGATTTTTCTAACGGCTGATCGTAAATCATTTTCAAGTTTTTTGAGTTCAAAACCAAAATTTTTGTTTATTTTAAACATGATAGAACAAAAAAGCTTTTTTCGGTATTCCTATGCCATTTTCGGTGTTTGAATTAATGCGTCGTGTATGTGCCCATGTTCAAATAAATATATACTGTCTCTACTCTACTTTGTTGATTTCTTGAACATTGTTCTGCGGGTTTATTTTTCTGAATTTCGTTACTGAGGTTTTGTTGCTGTTTTGAATTGATTTTAAAAAATTCAGTTTTAATTTAGTTTATTATTTAGTTTGGCACATTTTGAAAACATTTATTTTGCAGAGTTAGAAGGATTTCCTTTTTGTTTGGTAATAAATTTATTTCAGTTAGCTTTTGTTTGTCGTGTTCAACATATAAAACGTGTATGAAGAAGACTTGTTAGTGGTTAGTAAGGCCGGATTGACCGACTGGCAAGCAGGGCGCGAAAGCACTTCCACCCGGCCCGTGTTTTTCAACCCGGAGATAAACATTTGTGAGAAAGCGAGTCCCGCTCAAAAACTGAAGTTATTCACAAAAAGTTGGAGTGATAAAATTTTGTATTATTTACACTATTTAACACGATTTTTTTTAAATCTAAATTTTAATCAATCGTAGCACATTATCGGTTAAATTTTTACAATACACTTTGGGGTAAAACGCCTCCCTATAAAATGGGTAAAACGCCCCCTTATAAATAATGTAATTAAAGAATAATTTTATACTAGAACTATTGGATATTGTTTTGATCCTTAAAATTAAAAAATGAAATTTAACAGTTGTTTGTTGGCTTTCTTTTTAACTTTAACAGTCATACTTCTTAATTTAACTTAACAAAATGCCACGGTCTTGCAAAAGAAAATCAGCAAGAGGATCATACGAAGAAGAGTCGCTTCGTCAGGCATTAGCGGCCATTCATGATGGAACACCAGTAAAAACAGCTGCACGGCAGTACAGTATTCCTCAACGAACACTAAGACGACACCGGGATAAGAAAGTATTACAGCCGGGAAAATTAAAATTGGGACGATTCGAATCGGATATTCCCATTCAATATGAAAAAGAATTGGTGTCCCTAATTCAAAATATGGAAAAGGCTTTATTTGGTTTAAGCATTATGGGTGTGCGAAAATTGGCATATGATTTTGCTGAGAAAATGGGCCTGAAGCATCGATCTAGTAAAAAGACAAAAATGGCAGGAGTAGATTGGATGCACGGTTTTTTTTAAGGAGATATAACCAACTAACTGTCAATAAGACAGCCTGAGGCAACAAATATCTCACGAGCAGTAGGTTTTAATCAGGAAAAGGTTAAATCTTTTTTGAAATTTATGATGAGCTTCAGTACCAATACTCATTTAATGATTTGACAATCTGGAACGTCGATGAAACGAGTATTTCAAGAGTGCAAAAACCAGTAAAAGTGGTTGCGACTAAAGGCACTAGACTTGTTGGTCGTAAGACAAGCGGGGAACGGGGTCAAACTACAACAGTAATGTGTGTTTTCAATGCAGCTGGGATGTACATACCTCCAATGTTTATTTTTCCACGGAAGCGTATGGTTGATTCTTTGATGAATGAGGCACCACCAGGTGCTATTGGAGTTTGTACCCCAAGCGGTTGGACAGTGAATGTTTTATGAGATGGTTGAATCATTTTACATTTATTGTAAAGCCATCAAAAAAAGACAAACATCTTATTTTTCTTGATGGACATCACTCTCACAAAACACTTGAGGCAGTGACATTTTGTCGTGAAAATGAATTGAATAACATTTCCACCCCTCTGCACACATAAGATGCAGCCTCTTGTTGTTTCCTTTTTTAAAGAATTGAAAGCTGCAACTGCAGATGGATAGATGCTTAGTAACAAAGGAAGACGGATAACCTTTTATGAAATAGCTGGACTATTTTCAAAAGCATTTTTGAAAGCAGCCACCCCAGAAAAAGCTGTACATGGTTTTGTATGCACTGGTTTGTGGCCTCTAAACAAACAAATTTTTTCTGAAGATTTTTTTGCATCAAAGCTAACAGATGAACCCTTACCGAATACAGTCACTTTAGTTCAACAAACACCTGAATCTGTGAAACCTGCACAGGAAGTTGATCATGCAAAAAAAAATCCTAAAACGACACTGTTGAAGATCATGGGTCCAATTAAAATTGACAACGTGAGAACTAGAAAACGAAAATCAGAAAAAGCTGCCCTTTTGACATCTAGTCTTTACAAAAATTTACTCGAAAAAAGGGAAAATTCAAAGACTATGTCAAAACAACAACTGATAAATGGTAGCGGTAAAGAAAAAAATTGACTGTGAGCCATGTAATACCTGTCAGTTGAAATACTGTGATGATGTAACGGGTCGGAACTGAATTCAATGTCAGTCTCTAACATGCTCACAGTGGTACCACAATGAATGCCAAGGACTTGATGAGAACTATAATGAACAATTTACATGCATTGATTGTGAAAATTCTGATTCAGATTAAGCATCAGTTCTGTTTTAATAAACGTTTGAATAATTTAATAATCAATTTAAATACATTAACAGTTTTTTCAATATTTGTTAACATTGTTTTTATAGTTTTGTTTAATAAATTTGATTGAATATTCAAATTTACCAATGTATTTTTAAACACTATCTATGACAGTGACATGGGGTAAAACGCCTCCTAGTAGGCGTTTAGCCCCAATGCTGGGGTAAGAAGCCCCTTTATCAAAAAAGTTTTAATGGCAAAAATTTTTTATTGGGTCGTTTTTATTTGTTAAAATTATGTATTTATATAAAATACTATGAGTGATCTTTCTGGAATTTTAAAAATCTCAGTTTTATAGTATAAATGTGATTTAATCGAACTTTTCCCTTACCCCATGTTACCCTACAACAGTAGTCAAAATGATAATCCTCGTCAATTTTTAGGAGATATAATGTCACAGGTCTAAGTAAAATTGTTTTTCCCAAATTTTTAAGTGACAGGTGCGGCAGTGACCAAAGTGAAATTCATAACTCCCAATTTTTAGGTGACAGGAATAACAGGAGCTATAACGAAACTTCCCCAAATTTTTTAAGTGACAGGGCTGGTCCTACGGAAAATATTTTAGATTCCAGGTATCAGGCCAAAAGTCAGCACCAAAAACGATTGTTTGTAAATTTCACCAGAATTTTTGGGTGAAGGATTTAACCATGCGAAGAACATTTTTAGTTGTAAGTCAGCGGAATCTTTTCCAGAACAAGTTTCACAGGTTAATAAACCGACGCCAGCACAAAGACCTATTATTATTCGAAAACGTGATAATATTTTAAATTCCAGGAATAGGTGCAGAATGGTTCAAAAGGATGAAGAAGTCGAACACAGTCCTTCGTCTGGCGACCATGGGAAGTCAATGCATCGTCGGCCGAATGTAAATACCGAACGTCACAGGTTGGTTCGACATCAGGAGCTGTTGAAATCAGAGGTGATAGTTGCAGGATCTGACGATTTCTGTTATGTGTTTATCAAAATTTAGATGTCTGTCAAAAGTGACTCCAAGCAACTTGATCGCATCCGAGATAGACAATGTGGACCCTGCTATGTCCATTTCCTCGAGCTGAAACCTCGACAGTTGTTGATGTGTTTCAATGACCATAATTTCAGATTTGTTAGGGTTGAGAAGAAGAAAATTATTAGCATACCACCGATAAACCTCGCTAGTACAATTGCTTAAAACTCGAAATGCTGCTTTCAAATATTGATGATTCGTTAAGAATTGCACAGCGCCTTGAAGTTTCAAAGAATTTAGTTAATTCATCCTACAGGTTTATTCCAGAGGTTAGGAACATGCAGGATAAAACAGAAGATAGGATGAAAGCAGTGGGGCGGCAAATGAACTCGCTTCGTCAATCGCTTGACGTTCTTCGAGGCTATGGGGTAAGGCAAACTGTTCCTCAAGTCAGGGGTGAAAAGGTTTGTTTTGGTTGTGAAAAACCAGGAAACTTCGTCTCCCAATGCCCTCAGGGAAGTTTCAGTCAAACAATCAAAAGGGTCGGAATAACTGTTACAGGTGCGAAAAATCAGGTCATTTCAAAAGGGAATGTCCAGAAAAAGAAGTCAAATCAACAATCGGAACGCATAAACAAATCTAATGGAACTGACGACCAAACCTTATATTTGCCGATCTCGGTAAATGGTAAAAAAAAGATTGTTTTTTGGATAGCAGTAGCAGCGTATCTATCATCCCGTCCTGCATAGTTGATGTAACAAGGGTTAAACGTTAAACCTACCAAAAAAACGTTGAAAGCTGCTAACAATACAGAGATTCTAATGAATGGGAAAATGAAACTATGGATAAAGGTGGGTGGATTTTCTAAACTTACTTCAATCATGATATCAGACCACGTGTCAGAAATTATCATGGGTTTAGATTGGCTGGTAAATAAAAAAGTTTCATGGAAGTTTGACGAAGCACGGGTTACCGTTGGTAACAAAAATAGAGTAGTGAAGTTGGTCACTAAAGGATTGTCAAATGGGCGACTGCGCCGAATCTACTGTGTGAAAGTGCAAATTCCAACACGAGCGGAATTAGATGTACTGACAAAATTGGTGATATGCCAGCCATACAAATTAACATTGACATTATGTATGTTCAGAAGCAAGGCAAATGAAATCGGGTGTATATGTTGCTAGGACGCTGCATCCGATTAAATACGATGGCCAATGCGTCAGGGTATTAAACTTAAATGATGAACCCAGACTGATTAAACAGAGAACGCGGTTGACCGATGTTACAGGGGCCAGAGTGAAAAATAAGTTAGATCAACAACCTCAACAGGAGAATCTAGCTAACATCAAAACTATAATTGACGAACTGACTATGGATGCCCCCGAAGAAGGAAGGCACAAATTATCTGAATTATTAAATAATTTTGTTGACGTATTCAGTGATACATGCACAGAAATTGGAGTTGCAAAAGGGGTTTATCATAGGATCAACACAGAGCATGCCCGACCGATAAAGCAACAACTCAGACGATATCCCCCAGTACAACGAAGGAAACTGGCACGCGAAGCCAGGCGGTGGGCGAACTAGTTTGTAGCCTTTGAACTGACCGATGAAAAGGGACAATCAAAACAGGCTAGGGAGTGGGCAGACCAAAGCGACCACGAAGCCCAACGAGACGAGTCGCCAGTCAATTACAGAACTCACAGGCGGAATAAGCCCGGTGAGCGGGGAGGCGAAAAATTTAGCCGATAAACGCTGCCTTGCCGCAAATCATCGCTGGTTATAATATTGGAAGGCCAGTTTTGCGAAGGCGAAACGCTTTTCTCCATAGACCAAATGAACCAGGTGAACTCGACTAGCAGCACCCCGGAGTGGGCAAGTAGTTAGTTGCTCATCTAAGCAACAGGCATCGCTGCACCGACGAAAAGAAAGGAAAGAAAAAGACAAATTCAACGGAGATCTTTGACAACAAGCGTCGAAATTTTGTAAAGTTTTTTTGGCGCGCGTATATGAATGAACGTTTCATGTGCGTATATTGGTTGGTTTGACGGGCTGTATAGAATGGTCTGGTATCCAGGGTGGTAAAACGTTGTATAAACTGGTTTTGCAAGCATGCTGGTGGAATGAATTGGTTTTATGTGAATAGCATGGCGCGAGTATGTTGAGTATATTTAAGAGTGAATGGTCAATTAGAATATAAGTATTTTGGACAATTGTTTTAGTTAGTTTTCGAGTTAGTTTTTGTAATTTTTGGGGCAGTTCGGTTCCTGGCATGTTAGGTCATCTGGTAATTGGTGATACTTTGAACATAGTTCTGTGGGATTATTTTTCTGAATTTTGTTACTGCTGTTTTGAATTGATTTTAAAATATTCAGTTTTAATTTATTATTTAGTTTGGAACATTTTGAAAACATTCATTTTGCGGAGTAAGTATATTTTCTTTCTTGTTTGGTAATAAATTTATTTCAGTTAGCTTTTGTTTCAACATATAAAACGTGTCATATAAAACGTGTATGAAGAAAACTTGTCAGCGGTTAGTAAGGCCGGATTGACCGACTGGCAAGCATAGCGCGATGGCACTTCCGAGGAGGCGAGTCCCGGGCAAAAGCGAGACTGCCTAGGCTGGCGCCGGCGTTTGCTGGTGTTCGAACAGAGAAAAGATTCCGCCGCGCGGCAAAAATTTACTCATATATATATATATATATATATATATATATATATATATAATAAAAAGTCAACTAACGCCGAACATACTGCGATTTCCATCAATAATTGCATTTCCGACAGTCTTAATCCAATCCCACACACACACACACACATATATATATATATATATTGTATTAAGACTGTCAGAAGACATGTATGAAAAGTCTCATTCATACATTTTTATCAATAGTTGCATATATATATATATATATATATATATATATATATATACATTGAACTAAGACTGTCAGAAAAGCAATTATTATTGATGAAGCCAATCAATCAATCAATCAATCAATCAATCAATCAATCAATCAATCAATCAGCTTATAAAACGCTATTTCCGCGATGTTCAACAGCGCTCCTCAATGAATTTTGAAAATAGATGGGTCTTGAGATCCGCTCTGAACTTCGCAAGTGATGGAGAAGTAGTCAGAGAAGTAGGTAGAGAGTTCCAGAGAAAAGGACCAGAAAAAGCAAAAGCAGATTTGGCGAAAGAGTGTTTAATACGAGTTAAGAAAAAGCGAGAAGACGATCGTAAACCGGGGCGTTTAGGTTCAATTAATATATCTGATAAATACTTAAGAAATAATTTAGATTGAGACTTATACATGAACGTGCAAATTTTAAAAATTATTCTATATTTTATAGGTAGCCAGTGCAAGAGAACAAGATATGGAGATATTTGAGAAAAGAAAGGGGCACGAGCAACTAGACGAGCAGCAGAGTTAAAAGCTTTACTTAAAGGATAGAGTATAGAGTCAGGAAGACCATAGTAGAGCGAGTTACAATAATCAATCCTAGATAAGACTAACGAAGTAACAAGAAGGAGAAGAGTAGGATCATGTTGTGATTTTCATCAATAATTGCATATATATATATATTATATATATATATTTAGGATTCAGACTATCAGATAAACAGTTGTTTAGGAAAGTCACAGCATTTTCAGCGTTGCTTAATTTTCTATTTAATTTTTCAATCTTCATTACGATGAATTTCAATTGATTAAGTTTATTTAACTCACGCACAAAATTAGTGTACATGTTTGGAACAGAAAAGCTTAATTTTAGTATTGTATATGTTCTTATATAAGTTATTGTTACTTTGTTCCTATGTTAATGAAGTTTATACGAGTTCTTTGTATCTCTTTGTGTGAATTAAAGTGTGTGTCGTCTTGGTAAAGTCGATTTCTAATTTTATGGGATGGTAGAACGCCAGTGGCCCATTTTTGAATATTTATAACGGGATGTTTTTGTTCAATCAAAAGTGATTCTGCAATTCGAAGTTTTTGCTTGTTATTATCATAATGTAGAACTTAAATATAGTTATCAAGGATGTCTCTAGTGGGTTTTATTTTGTGTTTGTCTTTCAGGTGGTTTTGGATAGCGCCAGATTGAATTTTTTTTAATCAATCACCAATTTTGTAAGTAATATCAGGGGACTTCTATTTAGTATTAATCTGGTATTTTAGCACAGTTATTGTTTTCCATTATCATGGATGTTTTTTGGTTTGCATAGTTGATTTGTATTTTAATTTTATCTTTTTCATTGACAGTTTTTACATTGTTTCGTATTATCCTTTTCATGATTTTTTTATCATTAATACTCCTAATAGGGGACTCAATGCCATCGATTTGTTGTTTACTGTTTGGTCCATAGTACGGGGCTTCAGCTGTGCAAATACGCAGTAGTTGTTCGAGACCTTTTTTAGAAATAAAAAACCATATGTCTACCGCCTATAAGCAAGATGAAAAATAATGATTGTGATTAGCGAGTTAGATGGCGCTGTGGAGTAACGATGAAGTGGTTGGCGCTGCAGTAACCGTATTTGATCGCAAAGAAATGCCCGCCTATCTCATGCAATGTGTGTGATGCGTTGTTTCACGGGTACTTATTTACATGCACCGCGGGTTTACTGTTGAGGTGTCTGAAAAATAATTGAAAAGAAAAATGCAATAAATAAAAAAAATAACATATTGTTGAAAATATTTGGTTAAGTACTGTGAAAAAAAATGCGTTTGAACAAATCACACACACACACGCGCGCGCGCGCATATATATATATATATATATATATATATATATATATATATATATATATATATATATATATATATATATATTGCTAATCATAATCATTTTTATCGGCCAATCCGGTTTGATTATAAATATAATTTTTATTTTACGTTTTCCTCGAATTTTTAGTTGAAATGTAATGTAACAAAAAATGTCAGCCAAGAATTTACAGAATTAGTGAATTGAAAATTAAATAATCTAAAAACAAAGGCTCTTTCAAGATGTTGGTGGCCAAATAGATGCAACGACAGCATGTTGAGAGTCAGGTAACCAAGCACTATATTCTTTCAACAGAACTGTTAATGAGTTAAAATTTAAATATCAGTTACAAATCTTAAAATTAAATTCTAACAAATAAAAAACGAACAAAATATGCCCGAAAAACATTTCCTAGTTACAATTGTAAGAACTTTTGCAATTCAGATAATAATATGGAAAATTGCAAATCGCTGAGTCAAACCATGGAATTTTCATGTGACGTGAAAACTGCTTTTGTCTCCAGTAAAATTTACAATAGGAAAAATATAACAGAGCAATTCTAAGATAAAATTCAATGGATCCAACAGAGAAAAAGTTATACATTTTTCTGTCATCTAATAATACGATTAAAAGCGTTTGTTCAAAGACAAGCAAAAAGAGAGGTTAGGTATTAGGTATTTGTCCAGGTATGCGATGAAATACGTTCCAACATTCCATACAAAGCCGTATTAATCCATCAATTATTGATTTCAATAGATTTAGAAATAGAAATTCAAAGCACAAATTTCCAAAAAACGACAGGTTCTGGCTATTATTAAGCTTTAAAAAAATAATTTTTTATGATCGATGTATTTTTAATGAACAACCTAAAATCAAATATTACTACTGTCAAAAATAAAAACAACAAACAACACACGTTTAGACGACATTTTCCCCGAGATCGGGGGTTGCCGTTTGGCTACCTATGATGAAACCGAAATACCCCTCGACGCCATCCACATCTGTCACTCGCCTCAGTATCACGCAACCCCGCTTTCACCCTGCTCTCTCCATCCCAATCGCGGACGACCCCTTCCTACCACTCCTTCAACCTCGAACTCCAACGCTCGCCTAATCCCGACCCTTTCATCCCTTTCCAACACATGTCCATACCATCGCAATCTCGATCTCCTTATCAATGTCACAATGTCCTCATTCAGTCCCATCATTGACATCAGCTCTGTACTACTCCTCCTATCCTTCACTTTAACCCCACACATCATCCTCACCATAGCTCTTTCAGCCCTCTGCAGTACACTTTCCTCCTCTCCCCTCAACACCCAATTTCACCACCATATACCATCGTTGCTCTCACACATGCTTTATATAACCTCCCTTTCATCTTCACTGACCATTTCATTCCACACAATACCCCACCCAGTTCCCTAAATTTCATCCATCCTACATGAACTCTAGCCGTAACTGCGCTCAAACATCCTCCATCCGCGTTCAGCTTATCCCCTAAGTAAACAAAGCTTTCCAATCTTTCAATACCACCACTCAACCCCGTCCTTGCGTCCGTCCTATTAATCACACCATGAACACATTTCTTACATTTGAACGTGCCTTCCACCTTTTTCAGTGCCCCCCTCACACCACTACATCTCTTATGCACCCATTTCTGACATCCTATACACAATACCGAGTTAACCTTCACTCTCCTGTCACTCTCCTATTTTACTTATCACTCGCTCCCCACCTTCCCCACTCACCATTACCTTCGTCTTACCAATATTAACTTTTAACCCTTTTTTTCAATAACACTTTTCCATCTGTCAAATTTTAACTGCAATTCTTCCATGCTATCAGCCATCAAGACTAAATCATAATCATCTGCATACAAAATCTCAAATAACAACCATTATTTTCCACAAACAAAATCCATCACAATTGCAAACAGAAACGGTGATAACACTGATCCTTGATGTACTCCTACCTTAAGACTAAAAGCGTCCGACATCCCCCTTCTAACCCTCACCTTTGTCTTTGCCCCTTCATACAGTTGCATCACAGCTTTAACAAGTCTTTCATTCACTCCTTTCTTCCTCAACGCCCATTCAATGACCGTACTCGATCAAAAGCCTTTTCTAGATCCACAAAACACATGTACAATCTTCGTTTCTTCTTTCTATAATTCTCCTGCAACATTCTCACCATGAACAACGCATCCACCGTTCCCCTACCAGGCATAAACCCACACTGCATTTCATTAACTGTCACCCTAACCCTAACCCTAACCCTCTCCACTACCTTCATTCCGTGCTCTAGCAATTTCACACCCCTATATGACCCACAATCTCTCACATCTCCTTTGCCCTTATACAACGGCACCAACACACTGTGTCACCAATCCTCAGGTATACCTTCATCATCAAACATACTGTTAGCAATTCTCATCATAACTTCAATTCCTATCACCCCACTCGCTTTTATATGTTCTGCCGCCACTTCCGAAACCCTTGTCGCCTTACCTAGTTTCATTTCTCTAATTGCTTTCTCTACTTCCTCCATCGTCACCTTCTCTATAGGTCCGTTGTGTGACCGCGGATTCCACACCTCCATCCCACTCATTCTCTTCATTCATCAACCTTTCCATATGAGCTTTCTACACCTGAGCTTTTTCCTCCTCATCTATGCACAACTTGCCAGATCCATCCCAAACACATCCATTCCCTATAACATTTTTCCTATCCCTCATTGACTGCTTTGCTACTTTGAACCTTTTCCTCTAACTCACATCAAATTCCATTTCCTTCATTAACCTATCTGATGCTCTCGTCATTGCAGTTGCCACTGCCTGTTTTGCAACCTTCTTAGCCTTCCTATACTCAAACTCCGCTTCCTCCGTCATGTCCCTTCTCCATACCCTAAACCTCTCCTTCTTGACCTCCAAAACCCTTCTTATATCTTCATCCCACCACCACGTCTCACCATGCCTACACTTTCCTTTCGTCCATCCACATACTTTATCTGCCGTAGCCAGCACACAGTCTCTCCCAAACATCTCCATCCTTACCACTCTCCCAATTTTCAGCCACCTTCACTTCAAATGCCTTCCTCACCTCTGCATCCTGCAACTTCCATGTCTTTCTCTTTGCCACAAACTTATCCTTCTTCCTCCTCCCCATTTCTTTTGATGTCACATCCATCACAACCATACTATGCTGCAGCATACCAGGTATCGCCTTCACATTCTTCACATACTTCCTATGTTTTGCCCTTACCAATATATAGTCTATCATCGACCTATGCTCCCCTGACCTATATGTAATCAATCGCGCTGGTTCCCTTGTAAATCAGGTATTCCCCACCACCATGCTATGTGCATCCGCGAAATCCAACACTCTATGTCCTTCCTCATTCCGTATACCATATCCCCATCCCCCATGTACACCTTCATATCCGTCTGCATCCGCCCCCACATGACCATTCAAATCACCCAACAACACCACAAACTCATCCAACTCCGCTTGCCCAATCTCGTCAGAAACATCATCATAAAACCTATGCTTCTCCTCTTCCTTCCTACTTTGTTGCGGAGCATATCTTGATATCACCCTCACTATTACTTTTCCAAACACCATCACCACCACAATTACACCATTGCTTCTCCGCATCACTTCCATCACCTTCTCCACCAACTCTTCTCTTACCATCACACCAACTCCTCCCGTACCATCATCCCTCTTCCACCACAACTTATATCTTCCACCTTTAGCCCCCACAAACCTTGTACCCTCACCCTTCCATCTGATCTCCTGTAATGCAGCCACGTCAACCATTCTCCTCTGCAGCTCCTCCACCACTTCCAAACTTCTTCCTGTCAACGTGCCTACATTCCAGGTACCAAACCTCCAACCCCTTGGTCTACAAGTAGTCCTTCCATCTATAGTGCCTTGCACCGCCACACTATAGAGTGGGGTGCCAGTAGCCAGACCATCTACAGGGCCTTGCACCACAACCCCATGGACTGGGTCTCCGGAGATTCTTCGCACCCTCTTCTGCCGGATACTGAGGGCCATTGTTATTTCCGTCATCATAAGTATTATTTTTTGGCTAGTTTTTACGCAGGACGCCCTTCCTTACGCAACCACAGTTATAAGCGGTGGGCCTAGCCTTTGATGATCCAACATCACTCACAAGGCAGTGAGGGTCAGTTTAATGTCATAACCAGGACATACTGTCAAAAAAAAAAAAAAAATAATACTGTCAAAAATAAACACAAACAATATTAAACAAGTGTTTACATTTTGGATCTTTTTTCCATTCATCGAGCAGTGCCTTTCTGTTGTGAACGTTTTTGTCCCTAAGAGCTTGCAGTAAGTTAGAGATCCTTGAAGAAAGGCTATTCAGGTACATTAATTTAATGAAATAAAATTAATAATTACAAAATAGTTTATATGAAAACTCTGCAGGTTATGTTGTGAAGTGAAAAATATAACAGACACATATAATTAAATTGCAGCAGAACAAAGATGACATAACAACAGCAGTTACTGAATTGAAAACTTAATTGAATTTAAATTGGGGAAGCACTCCGTTTATGAACAATGCCTTTAACAAGTATCACAGATTAAAAAATATTTAAATTCTGATCATTAGACTGATATTTTTTTATTTAAATATTTTGTTGATGGATTTTGAAATTTAAATCCAGTCGCTGTCAGGCCTTTTAAAATCAGAACGTAAAGCTTAAGGTTCACGTCAGCTAAACTTTTGAAAGTTGAAAGTTCTTACCACCATATATATATATATAAATATGGTTGAGTCTGTCATACACACAGTTATTGGGAAACATCATTGCATTTTCAGCTTCGATTCGTTTCTGGTACAGTTTATCAACACCAGAAACTGATCAAAGCTGAAAATGCTGTGATATATCATTACACATATACACACACACACACACACACACACACACATATATATATATATATATATATATATATATATATATATATATATATATATATATCATTATCATCATCATCATCATGTACGTTTACCAGCGCTCATCACTAGGGATGCACAGGATTTAAGTTTTCCAAGTTCGGCCGGGGTCGGACTTAGCCGGATTGGATTTAAAATTCAAAAACCGGTCGGGGCCGGATTTTAGTTACCATTTTACATACGTTAAAAGAATACTCACATTTACGGTTATCTACATGTTGAACATCAAAAAATAACACCAAGCAAATAGTTAATTAATTAAAATATATAAATAAGTTTTATAAATCAGCTTATAATTTATGTGTTATAGCATAACCCGTGTTATAGCATAAAGAAAATTGTCCAGCTCACCTCACAATTATTGATGTTGTTATTATGTGTCATGTATGCACGTGCACAGCTTATAATTTATCCAAAACCCATGTTATAGCACAAAGAAAATTGTCCAGCTCACTTCACAATTAGTGATGTTGTAATTGTGTCATGTATGCCTAGCCTAACCCTTAACATACCATGTTCTTCAATTATGCGCTTATGTATATATATATGTCTATAAATATATATTATGTAGCTATATGATCCATTACATACAATTATATAGTATATACATATACATATGTAGCTATATGATCCATTACATACAATTATATAGTATGATCTTTTACACAAAGATCAGCTCATAATTTATGCATAACCCATGTTATAGCATAAAGAAAATTGTCCAGCTCACCTCACAATTAGTGATGTTGTTATTATGTGTCATATATGCTTAGCCTTTAACTTATTGACATAAAGTTAATTGAATTCAATAAAAAATTTTTTCTATTTATAACATTTTTAAAAGTTGATAGACGCTTAAATCTGGCCACCAGAAAAAAAGCCGGATTTTGGCCGGAGCCGGGGCCGAACTTCGGTGCATCTCTACTCATCACTAGGAGCCTAGTGCTAGCACTAGGGGTTGTTGACTAATGACCCGAGTTGGCCTTGTCACATGAACAGGGCAAAAGTGAGTTGGAGTAATTGTAGCTTAGTGTCGAAGTCGGAGATTTTGGCCGGAGTCGGAATTTTTTAAGGAGCCGGAGTTTTATATCCAACTACGAAAATGTTATTTATTTAAAAAAACATTTTTCTGAAAATTTCTTTTAAGATTGTGTTTTTTTAGAGGAAAAATATATGTAGTGATAAGCAATCATTTTTAATACTGAAAATAAATGACAATAATGTGAAAAAATCATATATCTTTAATATGTTGTAAAACATAAAATTAAAATTATTTTACTAAGAAAAAAGCTACATTGACTGATTTTAAGTGTTTTTAAAGTATTTTTTATTTTTGTTTTCTACTGATGATAAGATGAAATTATGATGTAAAAGTTGAAAATTTTTTCAGTATGTTTTACAACATAAAGTAATCTTACAAAGATAAACAATTACATTTACTGATTTTACGTGTTTTTAAAAGTATTTTTTATTTAGTAGTGATAATAAGATGAAATTATGATACAAAAGTTGACAATTTTTTCTGGAATTCGGAACCAGGAGTCAGAACGAACAGTTGGTGGTTTTGCCTCCCAGGGTTGAGCTCCTATAAACGTACTTGATGATGATCATACACACATACATATAGGCATAACATACATGCATACGCATTCACTTGTTACTTTATTAATTTATATAAAATCCTAATTCAAATAAAATTAAATGATAAGATAAAGTAAAAATGTTATTTAATGGAGAAAAAAAATCAATTTAATTTCTTACTGTGCCCATGGTTTGACAACAATAGACGGAGGTGTGAGCAAGAAAGTTTTAAAGAGAGCCAGTTTGGAACATACCAAGCCCTCCAGCAAAAACTTTGAAAACCACTTTAAACAATCAATAGATTTTGGAAGTTCACTTGTAATTCGTGGAACAGCCCAAAATTGAGGACCTTGTTAAGTTTTTAAAAGAACATATGTACAGATGATAAAAGGCATGAAAATATGAAAACAAAAAAGCTTTTGAAGTCAACCTAAGAACAAATCTAAATTAAATTATCCAATTTTTAAAAACTAACCAAATTTGCCAGACATGTGACACATCACATGACCATCGACCTCATCAAAAACAGGTGGATTATCAGGGTCATCGAGCTTTACAGGATCGAATCGTGTATCTGTCGGGGCAAATAATGGCAACCACTCCAGCTCAACTGATGTTACACCTGGAATTAAAATACTGAAATCAATCCTACGTTCTGCACAAGCACCAGGCAATGACTTCACCTTTCATATAGAGTTTGGATGTCTCCTCGATATATTGATAGACGACGTATTCACATTTGTTCTTGAACAAAGATGAGCTGGGATGGATGAACACATGCTCAACTAAATTCATATCCTGAGATGTTATTAAAATCAGATCAAATTTTAAATAAGAATAAATTTTAATAAAAATAACACTACTGTTATCACTTGTGTGTCATTTATATAGTATTTGAATGAGTTGTTCAAAAACAAACGGCGTACACATATGTGTTACGTGAGAAAACAACGCATCGTGTTGGCGTATGATAAGCGGAGAGCTCTTTGCACTTAAATGAAGCTGCGCAACTCAGAAAACAGACACTTTCATATGGCACCGTCTCGTCACTAATTGAAAAGAAAAGCACATTATTGAAATCAAGCTAATTGTAATTTTAACCACGTTTTTCATCATTTTATCGATCTCTGATGTCAACCAATAAAAATTAAACAAATAAATGATAAGTAATCAAAATCAAATTCATTTTTAAAACATTTGTTTAACAACATCATAATATCAAAGGATCACCAAGATTTATGATTACACTACAAAATGTTGTAGTAAAATTTGAAAATAATATCTAGTAGACCGTTTTATTTTTATTAAGAAAAAAAATTTTTATTTTGTGTCATTTGATGATATAAAGACAAACACCAAAAATCAATAAAATCAAACAATGTTAAGTGACCTCTCATTGATGAGATTGTTCAGAAAATTCAGTTTTTTAAAGCATTTTTTTTAAATTGATAAAAAATAATTGTTTTTAATTTATTATGAATATTTATATATTGTTTCATTATAAAGTAATGTTTGAATCAGTATAGTTCTTTTTCTAAGGTTCATTCATTAATTTCCTGTGATGCTCAATCACCTTATACATCAACTGGTGCTGATTTTCGTCATGAGTAAGTGCTGTATTAAAATCAGATGCCAATTTAACTGCTCGCTCAGCAACTACCCGTACTGCAGTCACTATCTCTTTTGCATTATTGTAATCCTCTAGTTGTGGCCATACTCTGGATCAAAGCAAAGAAAATTTTGACTGAGTTTCAATGTAGAAAATAAATTTAAAGACTGTTTTGTCACAAAATCTGACAAAATCTTGAATTTGAAAGAACTTATGTGTGTTGGATCTACTTTTCTAACATCATTTTTTTTGCTGGTTTATGTAATGCTTTAACCATAAGCCTTTTCTCATCGATATTAACCAAATCAGAAACAAATGTCATTCCAACAAGATCTTCGCTTAGATACCAAAGATTCCTTTTAATTTTTTTCATTGCTTCTTTTCCAACTTTGCAATCAACTTTTTCAAATAATTCCTGAGTTTGAAGAAGACATAAATCATTGTAAGGAGCACTACAGTTGTTTGCTGCACAAAACCATGCCTTTACATATACAGTTACAGTAAATAGACAAAGTCTCTTTAATGCTTGTAGCTCATGTGCAGTTAACTTCAGTTGCTCACGAAAGCAAAATATCTTCAAACAATAAATTCCTTTGGCCATCCAGCGAGCCCTGTGATAAGCTCCTGGAGGAGTGACTTGTACAGCAGTAGGATCTGAAACTCCAAGAGTTATGAGAGAAAGCCTAATCAATTGCAAGTAGCCATGTCGAGGTTGAGTATTTTGCAGCTGGTCTTGAAAAAAATCAATCATAGCTACACGATTTTGCTTTAGCCACAAATTTTCATCATTAGTCAAAGAACAACCAGTTGTTACCTTGTCAATCGATGCATATTTTAACTGATTAATTGATGGCCATTGATCTTTAAATCTACTAAAAATAGCAATTTGAGGGCCAGATGAAGTGAAAAATAAATCAAATAAAGCTGTTCCAATAATTTTAAGAATATGATGCCTGCATGCTAAAAACAAGAGATGTTTATTAAAGGATTTCTGAATTATTGTTATAACACCAGTATGAATGCCAGTATTAGAACTTGTTGTGTCAAAACACAAACCAGCCAACCAATTTGACACGCCTTCCCAATTCTGAAGTAACTGAACTATTGTGGTTCCTATGTTTATGCCAGTACCGCCAACCTTTGGTATAGCTATCAGTTTTTCTACATTTTTCCCTGCTACCACAATTGGCAGGCGATCTATGTTTGGCAAAAATGTGTTTTTGATAGTTTTTCCGATAGATTGTTGTATAGCTTTTCTAGATCCGTAAAGAGAGCTTGTTGACAAAGTGAGTTCATCAACGTTGATTCCAACTGCCTTTAATGCTGGAGCAACTATATGTATGGCTTCCCTATGAGTTGTTTTAGTACGATCTAGACTTGCCATGAACAGTGGGTCATCTACTTGACACCTTTTTTTAAGTTCATTAGTTTTAGGAGATATCGGAGTACTTCCTGCAATTTGATTCTGATAGAATTTGCTGACACCCTACTTCCTTATCAGACTTATCGCTTTTGTCATCTGTTGATGTTGAATTATCATCATCTTCTTCATAATTGGCTATGTTTCTCTTTTTATTAGGTTTTTCTTGTTTTTAATTCTTGCTTAGTTTCCTTTTTAATCTTTTCTCTTCTTGTTTGGCAAATTTTTTGTCTTCTCCAAACAATTAACTTCTATAATGTTTTATAAAAACATGTAAAAATATTTTAAAAACCCCAAACACCAAAAAAAATCATTCAGACTTCATAAAAAAAACAAAATGTTATTTGAGAGGTCACTAATACTTATCCTTTTTAATTGAAATTTTTACAGGATGATACAAATATAAAACCACACCATATAACCCCTATGCATTGTTTTTTTTTAAATTTTTTTTGAAACAGTCTAATATCTAGTCGCAATTATGAAAAATGTAAGCCCGCAAATTAAAACAACAGTCGTAAAGGTAAAAATACCTTTAATGCACATAGATACAGTAGTAGAGAGCTGCATCTAAGAAAATGTCAAACACTGTTTTTATGTCGTACCATAATGGCTGTTTTTGTCTAAACCAGAGATGAACAAATTTTTTCTATTGAAGGCCCCAAAAACAAACATTACTACTGTCAAAAATAAACACAACACGAACAAACACGCACCACATGCACACACACACACACGCACCACATGCACATACACACAAAAACACACACATGCACACACACGCACTTACAATTACATACAAATGCACACACAAACACGCACGTTTTACTTCAACATTAATGAAATAACGACAATCTTTTAATTCTAAAGCATTTTTTGTTCTTTATTTTGTTCTTACATATCATCCCTGTATTAAAACTTTCGTGCCGCAAAGACAGTACTATCCACACCACACGACGTGCATACACATTATGTATGCTCGCGCAAGCACACATCATACGCGCATGTCGTATGATAGTTTCTGAGTTTCGAACCGACAGTATTCAAACTAGGCCATCGCGTAACTGCACGAAACATGACGCTTCTACCGACTGGCTAACCATTTATATTGCGATTCCTTGTGGACACCCAAAAATGTAACCAAAAACATTCACACTCACAAACATTCCCAGACAGTGGCGAATATAGACAACGTCCACAGGGGGCGGCCAAAATTTAAAAAACGTTAAAATTTGATCTAATGTTAGTTAGTTTGACCAAAATCAAGCTAGCCAAAATTGAGCTGCTTACCACTACAATTTTGTTCGTAAAAACGGTGTTTTTTGTCTAAAAAGTCAATTTTACTGACTTTTAATAAAAACACCGCTCACATGGCCCACCTTACATTCGCCACTACTCATTAACACCTACAAACATTTACAAACACCCTTATGAAAGAAATTATTTTTAAACACTCTTTTTAGCCGCACGAGACATGACACTTCTACCGACTTGAGCTAATTCGCCGATCATGAGCTAAATTGCCGAACATTTGCCGAAGTAACACACAAATGGTTAATTGATCCTAATAAAAATTATAATCATAATAAATAAATATTACCTCATATGCATTTTTTCTTTTTCTGGCCTCCTCCAAAGTCAGCCCAGACACATCAGGAAGCCTCCTGGAATTAAAAAGCGCTTTGCAATTTTGTTTATCATCATTTTTGACAACAATCAACTTTCATAATGAGTGATACATTTTTTAAAATTGATTTATTTGGAGTACACTGTACAGATAACACTTTTAAAATATATTACATAGGTAGTTAGGCACTATCAACTTTGTATTAAAATTCTTCCAAAACTTAATGTATAACCAACTATTAATTTTACCTGAATTAAATACCTTTAACAATCTCAATTAGGAAACAACTAAACTACTCATTCCTGGATGTTAAACAAACAGCCACCTCCAACCTGCAGCCAAAGTGCAAATATTATAGCTAAAACAGAAATTTACACAATAATTCCAAGAACTCAAAAAACTTTTCAGAAGCAAAGCCTCCACATACTAATAAACTTTCTGTCAGATATAAAAGCGCTTGAAAATCTTATAAAGTACCTTATAAAGAAAATAATCAAAATTACTTCAAATTTAAAGAATAAATGGCTTAAAGGTGGCCTTTTCATTGTGCTTGCTGAAACGCTTTAAAATTGCACACAAAAATTAGGAGAAAAATAAAATTGCCGTCTTCTGATGATAAAAAAAACATTTAACTCCCATAATAATTTGTTCCCAGACTTGATTACCATAACAAAATGAATGACATCATAAGTATTATAAATATTACACACTTGGCTATATGATCGACATGTCCTGATAAGACGATCTGCCTGAGCAATTTAGCCTGAACTTGTGATGGAAATTTCAGAGTCGAATTGTTTGAAAGGTTGAGATCAGGTATCAGAGTGTTCACTGTTAATTTTGAATGGTTGGTTCAATTTTTATACATTTCGTTTAAAGCATTATAAAAAATTATTATTTTCTAAAAAAAAAAACAACAGAAATTTGTTGGAATCTGCTCTGAAAATTAGTTTAAAAAACTAAAGTTTAATATATTTAACTCATTTCTTTTCCCAAATCATCATTCCATTACAGCTCAAATACCAAATGGTCAAATAAATAAAGCAGATCATATTAAAAATTTGGATAACAAAACCGAAATTAGATAATAATTATGTGTCCGAGCAAAACCGGAATCCGAACCTTTGGCCAAAACCGAAACTTTTCAGAAATGACGAATAATGGACCGCGTATCGAAGCGTAGCACATTTATCAGGCGTGGTCAACAAGCCACGAATAAAAAAACTAATGAAAAGACAAGAGAACTCCGACCCCTTCAAAAAATTCCGACTCCAAAAAAAAACTTTTCATCCTTTGCATCATAATTTTACATAAATATCACTACTAAATGAAAAACACAAAAAAAATTCTTAAAAATCAATCAACGCACCGAAAATTCGACCTGGTCAAAGATTTGGCGAAATTTTGACATTCGGTTTCGATCATTTTACAACCGACCAGTCGAATAGTGCAACTTCCCTTAAAACCAACATTTTTGTATTCTAAAACAATAAATTGATAAATATTACTAACGGGAAATTTATTTTTGCCATTATAGCTGTTAAAACATCCAAAGTTGAGCAAGAGATTGATTATCTCGAGAAATCGATAAAAAACTATTTGACAGACATATATCGCCTACTGACTTTTTAAAATTTTTTTTTCATTGTAAAAAAATTTTTTTTTCAAAATTTTGGTTATTTTAGCAACGGTTTTTAGTTTTAGCCGAATGGTGGATTAACTATTCGGCCACATTCACTATTCAGTGCATATCTTAAAACTAATTTATGTTTATGTTTCAAAACATATTAAAAAAAATTGTGATTTTATTCACATTATTGGCATTTATTTTCAGTATTGAAAAAATTGCATATCACTTCACATACTTATCTTCTAAAAAAAACAATCTTAAAAAAATATGTATTAAACGTGGTATAAAATACATACCATGTTTAATATTCAAAATGAAAAATTTTAGGTTACACGCTAAAAATAAAATTTTTTCTAGGTCGGATTTCGGCTAGATTTTTGTCACCAAAAAAAGTGTGAATCAAAGTTTCAATGTATTTATATAGGTAAAGCTATGTACATATTTGTATATACGCATGTATGCACGCGTTCACAGATTGTGCAATTATTTGTTTACATATGAACATGCATGTAATTGTATGTTATGAAAATTGATTCGAGAAGCGAGAAGAATTACGATTGTATCGCTTGGTCTTAGACCTTCTGATTGATGTAACTATCTTGATTATTTATTATTTTAATTACATTTAAATTACCAATCATGAACACCAAATGTAATAAATGCAAAAATTCGCATTAGCTCCAGTCAGATTTATGTTTGTAAATCTGATTAATTCCGACTCCAGCCGGATTTGAGATATTACTTCTCTCTTGCATTTTATAGTGCAAGGGTCCATACATTTAATCTATGTATATATGTTTGAACCCTATTTTCTTTCCGTTACACCGTGTCAGCCAACATTTGTATCTTTTAATACTTCTGCATCTTAACTGGTGCAGCGTTTTTGTAACTTTTATGAAAAATCATTTTATCCAATCCTCTGTCAATACATTAGAATAAATTTTTTCATTAACTACTTCATTGTAAACATAACAATTGAACTGTTTTATACGATTGGGTTGGAAAAAGCGTAATGGTGTGGTTGAAAGTCATGCAATGCGGTGCCGGGTTCCAATTCACAATGATGCCAGCGCCTTAATTAAAACGCATTCACATAGACTGAGTGTGTGCATTGATATATTTGAGTAGTGCAATAAGAGAGAACAACCATTAGTTATGAACCAATCTGAATGCTCTTTTTAAATGGCAATACTATAAGCCATAAACTTCCAATTTAGGTAAAACTTTGCAACTTTTTTCGATATATAGAATTAACGTAAAAATACAAGTAAAATTTAACGATTTAAATAAAACATACGCAGAGTGATAAGTTGCTTCCTCATTTTAGAAATTTCCAATAAGGCTTTCCACCTTATCCCATATTTTTCAGATAATTTTGCCCATTCCTCTTTTCTTTTACTAGCATCCATTAAACAAACCACTTTCAATAACAACATGTTGTCGCCCAATAATCTTGCCTCACCCTAATTGATAGTAAATATTTGTTTAAAAAATTAACTAATTAGTAATCATAATTATTTACTGATCCAAAACTGATCAGCAACAAATCAATTCAATCAGCATCAAGCTGTTTAATTTGATTAACATGGGCAGTGGTGATGTGGCAACCACTCAAATGCGAAGATTTTTGTGTAGTGTAAGAATAAAGGTTATAATGTTTTGATTTATGCTTATTTGATTCAAGTGTGCTGCACGTGTCGTAAAAAAAATTCCAAAAAACAAATGAAAAATATATACAATTAGTACAAACGAACTTTCCCAACGAGCTCCAATCTCGCCTGTTGCATTTCCAATCGTTTTTTCTTAAATGCTTCATTCTGCATAATAAAAAAAAAACAATTTTGCGTATTAACAAACATTACAAATTATAACATTTGAAATCTCATTGCAGCTAGAAAACACTTACTATTAATGTACAGCACAACTCAACAACAAGCTGAAATAAAAATGATCAATGGCAACAAGTGTGACTGACCTCATCAGAGCAATTTTCATCTTCCATCTTATGGTGGTGCAAACTATTCACAAACACTTCTTGAACTGACAAAGCTGCTACTAAAGCCACGACGTATGGCATAAGTTGATGTTGCTGACTCAATGAAAGCATTTTAGAATATCTTGGATTCAATGGAAATTGGGCCAGCGTTCGACCAAGATCGGTCAATCTATAGATCTTTTCTTCTGTCAAATAAATAACGAATAATTTAATAATTTAGTTAAACAAATTGTAAAAATAAGAGGAAACAAATTATTTAAGTTAACAGTTACGGAAAACGTTACTTCAGCTTGGTTATTTATTTATTTATTAAATTAGCTTCATCATGGCAGAAACAACCACGCTATTAAGACGTTCTTTTTTAGAATCTGATTTGAAGACAAAAGATTCTCAACCAACTATCAACGACCACGGATAAGTACCTTTGATTACAATCACTAATAAAATAGTAATAACAATTGAATAATTTTTCAGAGTAAGGAAGATTTGTTGCAATTATATTAGTATATTATATGGCAACTACCAGTGTTTAAATATAAACTGAAGCACAATGTTGAAGCAACAATATTGACATTAACATAAGAATATAAGGGATGTAATTTATTGTATACTTGGCTTGGATGTCGCAATCGAGCAAGGCACAACCTCCAGAGCACCCAACCGGTACAACAATCTTTCTGCTGACTGCAATCAATTACAAAGTTAAAAAATTAAGTGCCTCCTAAAAATTAGTTAGGCCCACCGAAAACATTTGCAACAACGTCATAATTTCAATTACCTCAATGGCCTGAGCTGACGGTGGAGTGGGGAAAGGAAAGTTTTTGACTCGATCGACACCTATGTCCTGAAAATTAAATGTTCAATCATTCAAAATATATGAACAGAAATGGTAATGCATGTTTCTTATGTATAACATAAATGACATAAAAACGACGTCTACACAAGAGTTTTCACAATTTGCTAATAGAAATTCTTACATAACATTCATGCAAACATTATACACGTTATAGAATGTTAAGCTAAACCCATGTGAAATGCTAATTTAAATGCCGGTCGGTCATTCATTCATTCATTTATTCCGTTACATACTTGGAAACTTCATTAACATGAAACGTTGACAATAATAATAATAATAATAATAATAATGATGCAGGTAGATGTTGAAATTGTTTTATAAAGTTTTAAAAGACCTTCAGTTGAAGGACCAGATCTTCAACGGGCTTCCTGGCTATCTCGGGCTCTGAAAACTCTTCAAAATCAGAAAAGACGGCTGAGGAGTACAACCTGTCCAATGATGGTTGAATGTTGTTGTGTTGGTGGTGGTTGGATGTTATTGTGTTGGTGATGATTGAATACTGGTGGTGGTGGTTGGATGTTGTTGCGTTGGTGGAGGTTTGAATGTTGTTGTGTTGATGATAGTTTAATGTAGTTATGTTGGACAATAAACGTAGTTAGGCTAGCAATTCATTTGAAAATTAATAGTAAGATAAAAGAAGAGGATTTTATTTGTTAAACAAACTTGTAAGAAAAAATAAAGAGATAATGACTCCAAATTGATGATGTATGAAGAAAACATAAAGTAACAAAATCATTGGATGGTTTATTTATTTTAAATAAGCCTGATGGAAAAAAACCTGTAACAATGACCAGGTCCTGTTCTACCGGCCCTACCACTTCTTTGATTGGCAGAGGCTTGTGATATAAAGGTTACCTTGAAAGTTGAAACGCCAGTAACTGCATCGTAGAACTTTGTTTTCACCTAATCCAAAAATATAGTGTCAAAAATAATCACTTCAATGAAACGTATTCTTTAAAAACTTCTGCATGCATCTGCCTTGTGACAAATTTATAACGCATCATCTTGTTACAAACGTTAGAATCACAAAATGCTCGATTAAAGTGAAAACTACTGCCACACACCTTCCCAGTATCGACAACATATTTAATGTTCGGGATGGTTATTGATGTTTCAGCAACGTTAGTGGCAACAACACACAACCGAAAGCCTGCGGGGACTGGCTTGAAAACCTTAAAACAAAATTGTTATTATTAATATTATTATTAATATTAACAATTCACATTTGATCAGTCCCCCAGTCGATTAAAAAGTCCAACAAAACTTATCAGTCATTCATTATTAATCCAACAGTCCGAGGGAAAATGAACCAACATAAATTATTATCACAAAAAAAGTTGTAAAAAAAATCAAAATTAGCAGAAACAAGCGGCAATAAAAACACATATCGGTTATCAATATTATTAAAAAACAACTTTTTTACTGAAATAATCTAAATAGAAAAATATAAGAACAATCTTAAAAATAACTTATCAGACGATTTTAAAACTAAAACATTTGCTCTCATGTATGTGAATTTAAACTTATTTTTATTTTTTCATATATATATATATATTGTTGGTAATAAACCATAATTTTTACAATATTCTATAAATTCTACCGAATGTTTGGCGTTAATATGTTTGTAGTTCGTTTTTTCAATTTTTCTCACCAAAGTTTTTTGGTGAACGTTTAGTTTATTAAAATTCAAAATAAACTTATTTTCCGAATTCATGCTGCAAATAAGGCCATATTTCGATTCCGAATGAATCATCAGTGCTTTCTGCTGTTTATATAGGGAAATATTGACTTTGTCAAAATGTATAGGGAAATATTGACTTTGTCAAAATGCTCTGGTTTCCATGTTTTCATCATTAATTGACAGTCTTATTCTAATTATATATATATATATATATATATATATATATATATATATATATATATATATATAATTAGAATAAGACTGTCAGAAATGCAATTAATGATAAAAACATTAAAACCAGAGTATGTTCGGCGTTAGTTAACTTCCTATTTAACTTTTCGATTTTTCTAACGGTTGATCGTAAATCATTTTCATTTTTAATGTGTAACGCATAATTTAAAGAAAACTAAAGAAACTTGAAAATGATTTAAGATCAACCTTTAGAAAAATCGAAAAGTTAAATTGGAAGTTAACTAACGCCGAACATGCTTTGATTTTCATCATTATATGCATTTCTGACAGTCTTACTCCAATCAAATCAAATCAAATCAAATCAAATCAAATCAAATTTTGTATTTATATAGCGCCAATTATAATTGCTTCTCATCAGCGCTCTCCTCATATGAAGCATGTTGAAAGCGAGGCCATCATCGGTGGAGATCACTAGGAGTTACCAAATAGGTATGTCTTTAGGTGATGAGCTGCTGTTATTGTAGTGTTGTTGTTGGGGATGTTTTGGATGAGTTGTTGTTGTTAGCATGTTGTTGTTTGTGAGTGATAATTACTTGTTGTCAATTTTGTTGTGCCCACAATAATGGTAGTCCTACGTCCTCCGGGTCACTGGATCATAACGAAGATTGATTGATTATGTCTTTAGACGTTTTCTAAACTAAGCTAATGATAACCCAAATATACGTAATTCGATGGGTAGGCTATTTCAAAAAATAGGCCCAGCAACTGCAAAATCTCTATCTGCTGTTTTCAGATTCCGATCTCTAACATACAGCGTGTTTGAATCAGCAGGCCTTAGACGCTCATGTGATGACATAGATGAAACTCGAATACACTTATCTTTTAAATATTTCGGAGCCAGACCATTCAAACTTTTAAATACCATTACACCCAACTTGAACATGATTCTTTGTTTAACACGCAGCCAATGCAACTCCTTTAGAATTGGTGATGCATGATCAAATTTTAATTTGCGGTATATCATTCTAGCAGCTTGATTCTGAACCATCTAAAGTTTAGACAACAGTTTATCAGCTATACCATATACAATCTAGAGTTGACGAAAGCATGTACTAATAAAGTCATTGTATTTCTATCTACCGATTTTGTGACTTGACATAACTGACGCAGTTGGAACATACATTTTTTAACCAATAGACTGACTTGTGGACCCATTGTCATACGGGAGTCCATCACAATTCCCAAATTGGTGACCGTTTTACTGAAACTTATATCAATCATACTGATGTTAATCGATGAAGGTTCAACCGCTGACGTTTGTTGTCATGTTCCAGCCAACATGAACTGAGTCTTAGTCTGATTCAACTTTAGCCTACTTTAACCCAGCCACGAGCCGACATCAGATATAGTTTTGTCAGTTTCTCCAATACGGTAGGCATCTCATCTGGAAAACATGAGACACAAATCTGCATGTCCTCTGCGTACCCATGGCAATAATAACCATCTTTATTCAGTAAATCCAATATCTCTGCAACGTACAAATTAAAGAGAATCGGTCCAAGAACAGATCCTTGAGGCACCCCTGACGTTAAGTTTCATTGGTTCCGAGAGACCACCTGAGTAAGAAATCTGCTGAGTCCGACCAGTAAAAAATGATTCAAACCACGTTAACGCAATCTTATTTAAACAATAACAATATTTCAGTCTGTCCAACAGGATTTTATGATTCCCAGTATCGAACGCCGAACTCATGTCCAGGAATATCAACAGAGTTACTTTTTGTACATTAACTGCTGAATAAACATAAGAGAATATATCCAATAGAGCTGTTTCGGTCGAATGAAACCTTCTATATCCAGATTGATGCAAAGGCCAAATACCATTTTTATTTATATGATTATTTAAAACTAACTCAACGGAACGTTCTATAATTTTAGAAACGAAAGACAAATTTGACACCGGCCTATAGTTTATTAGATCTGATTTATCTAATCCTGTCTTCTTTAGAATTGGCGTGACAATTGCATGCTTGCAAACCTGTGGCATTGCACCCTTCGTTAAGCACATGTTGATTATGTCCGTCAAGTAGACAATAAGACAATCAGCATATTCTTTGAATACATGTGTCGGTATTGGGTCAAGTGAGCATGACTTTGTAGGTGACGAATTAACAATTTTATATATCTGTTCTTCAGTCAACATTGGAAACGATTCGAGTGGAACAATAATATAAATATTAGTAGAGATAACTGGAAAATTAAAACATTCAGTTGACTTTTCGGTCACTTTCAACTTGTCAGCAAAAAATTTATTAAAATCATCGGCGCTATGCATTGAACCAACTTCATTTTCAACATTTGTCTCTTTTCCTTATAATTTATTAATCGTTTGCCATAAGTATTTGGAACTATTTTTAAATTGACATGTTTTCGCGAACCAAAAACTCCTTCGTTTCACTGAGTAACAAACATTCTTTTGTTTCATTGCCAATACCCAATCAACTTTATCATTATAACAACCAGTAGTTCTGAACCTTCTTTTTTTTTTGAACACATTTGCTTGGCCTTTTTGCAGTCACTGTCAAACCATGGTGCAGTCGGGACATGTTTCCATAGAACTACATGAAGCGGAGCAACATCGTCAGCAATTTTTAAAAGCTCTTCATTGAATATTTTAAAACCCATTTCAACATCATCGTCCTGACCATAATGTTTTGAGATAGGTGAGCACCTAAAAAGCTCAGTCATACGTTTTTATCCACTCGTTTCCAGGATCTGATCCACGATTTCTTGAAAATGACTGGAGACGGATTGAATAAAAATTGACCAGTTACTAAACGATGATCTGAATAGATACCAGGTGGATACACCAATACATCTTCTAACAAAAAACCATCTGATGTAACAATCAAATCCAGGGTACCACCATGCACATGGGTAGACTGATTAATTCTATTGACTAGATCAAAACTAGAGAAAACATCAGCAAGGGCTGTTGCATATATATCTGACGAAGTTTCTACGTGTATGTTGAAGTCACCTGCAACTACAATACTGCAACATAAAAGTGTGATTTGTTCTAAAACTAAAATTAATTCTTCAAAAAATAATTTAGCAGGAGGAGTAGAACCTGGCCTATAAATCACCAGAAAATTTTTTGAAGTCTTCTGTAATGTCAATCATATCGCTTCAAATGTAATTATCACTGGCAATGAAATTTTTACACATTTAAAGTGGTTTCTAAAATACGTTACCAAACCACCATGCCCAGGATCATTTAACCTAACTTGTTCCAAATAACTGAAATCACCTGACTTTGCCAAACTAAGACAAATGTTATCAGATGATTTATGCCAAGTTTCTGTAAGCATCAAAATATCAAAGCCATCATCGAGCAGCCCATGAACATCATCAACATTTGGACCCAAAGATCTAATGTTTAACAGACCCACCTTAATTTTATTGACATTACCAGAAGAGTTGAAAACCATAGACGCACAATCAGAGCTAGTATGCTTTAGTTTTTTGTTGAATATTTCTGTATTTTTATTATTCTCAAATTTGACGGATCTCCCCTCACCCTGTACAAAAATTCCCCCCGACTCCTGTTTCTGTTTATCTTTTGCTTCAGCTACCAGTTTTTTACATTTCTCACGCTGTTCTTTAGTGAAGTCATGGCTTATGCTTACATTTTTTAATTCATCACTCAATTGTTTCATCCTCACACGATTTTCCATTATCATGTTTTTCATAGACTTTTCTTTAAACTCAATCAACATTGGACGTGGGTTGTCACCTTTTTTGCCAATTCTGTACATTTTCTTAATATCGCTTTCTTTGATTTCATCATTTGTAATGACTGAAAGCAAATTCATAACAATCCTTTTATCATCATTGCGAGCATCAGCGGAGTTAGTTTCAGCAAACAACACAATATTGCACTCATGGTTGATTGTTTCGACATCGTTTTTAATAGATTTGACAACATTGTTGAGAGCCACCGTAGTCGATTTAACTTCTTTAATGGTTCCCTTTACAACTTCAGTCCAATTCTTTTTCAAACCCCCTTCAACATCTTTAATCTGCGAGTTTACAGTTACTGACTTATCAAATTGAACAATTTTGTTGACCATTTTGCTTAACTTTTCGTCAATTGAAGCCAACTCACGACGAAAAAAGCTTCATCAGTAAGCTTATCTTGGTTACAGACTATTTCATTTTGGGTTTGTTGCAGATCACAAATCTTTTTAAAACCTTCTTTAATGTCCTTAACGCAGCTATTGCGGAGCCAAAATAAATTTGAATCGAATACTACTGCTGTCAAGACTTGAGCATCGGTCGGAATACATTTGATGTGATAGCCGTCACCAAATATGCCACAACAAATTAATTCTTTGCTACTTTCTTTAATTTTAACTTTGCATTTGTTGCATTTATCTTTCGACATATTCAACAGTAAAATATGCCACTATATCTAAAAGTCTGATAAAACAATACAGGTTATCCTATAACGTTTACAAAATTAAAATCCTTCTTTTGTCGATTAAACAAGAATTTACAATTAAATCAACTTAACTAAAATTAATTGAAACAAAATTAACTTCAAACAATTAACGCAAACAAATTATATCGTTGAATTCGTCAAAATTTTCTCTATCAAATGAAATTAAATTTAAACTAAATACTCGATTTTAAACTATGAAATTAAGAAAAACTACGGAGCAAATCAAAATGCGGCCTGCACGTGCTACCGATGAGCGACTATATATATTTACAATATTCTATAAATTCTACCGAATGTTTGGCGTTAACATGTTTGTAGTTCGTTTTTTCGATTTTTCTCACTAAAGTTTTTTGGTGAACGTTTAGTTTATTTAAATTCAAAATAAACTTATTTTCCGAATTCATGCTGCAAATAAGGCCATATTTAGATTCCGAATGAATCATCATCAGTGCGGTTGATGTTTATATAGGGAAATATTGACTTTGTCAAAATGAACT